TTTTTTTTTTTTTTTTTTTTTTTTTTTTTTTTTTTTTTTACTTGTTGGCTAATTTATTTCCCAGCGAAACACAAGGAAGGTTTTTGTTGTCGAGATACGACAGTGCTTCACAAGTTTGAAAGGAAATCAAGCACCAATACAGCTCATTCACACGACGACATCCATGCACGAGAGAGAGAGAGAAAAGAGAGAAGAGAGGGAGAGGGATAAAGAGATAGACACGGAGGCTTAGCCAGAATAATCCCGAACGCGACGTAAGTTATGAATGAAGCGCAAAAACTGGACGCAAGCATCCAGATGGCGAATGACCCGACCGGTATCGGCTGGCCGCCATTCCAGCCTCACAAGGAAGGGGCATGGAAGTAAATGACAGGAGTTTTGGTAATTTGAGAGCGAAGTAAAGGAGAAAAATTTGAGTTAAGGCTAGAAAAAAAGCGGGGTTGAGTTAAGGCTAGAAAAAAGGGTTTGAACTTGAAGGGTTACAGACTAACAGTTGAAGACAGTGTTTCTGCAAGCGAAGGGATGACAATATCATGATATTGATGTCATGAATTTTTGTTTTGTTCAGGAAAAATGCAAGTCGTAGATGTAAGGAATGTTGACGTTGCATCGTTTGCATCGTGTTTGGTGTCGCGTACCTGTTTGCAGGCTGTAGATGTACGGCATGTTGAGGTCGCATCGTGTTTGGTGTCGAGTACACCTGTTTGCAGGCGAAGATATGAAGCTATTGACTGAGTGGGGATCCGCGCCGCCCGGTTGACCGGCAGGGGCCCGGGGGAGGTCCTGGGCGGCCTGGCCGGGCAGGGCACCCGGTTGGGGTCCGGGGCCCCCCAGCGCACTCACCTGTCGGGGGATTTCGGACCCCCTGTGTGTGTGTGTGTGTGTGTGTGTGTGTGTGTGTGTGTGTGAGAGAGAGAGAGAGAGAAAGAGAGAAAGAGAGAGAAAGAGAGAGAGAGAGAGAGAGATGTCACGTGAATGTCAGAGATAGAGAGAGACGATAACAAGAAATTGTCACGTGAATGTCAGAGATAACCTCTGACACTTTATCAATAAAAATCACGTTGTTGGCTGTCAATGGATTTTTTGTCCGCATCTCCACGGAACAGCAGCCATGCAGTACCTCCAGGTACTGGGCAGACCACCTGTGACAGAGGCCGCCCGGGACGCTACAGACCGGGAAGGTGCCCGTGGTACAACATCTAATCTTTGGAAATAAGTGAGAAATGGGATGTCTGGTAACAAGAAACAACACACTACTAATAGCCATTCCAATATAAATAAGTAAACTCATTTTGGTAGTATGAGAATAGAATTTGCCCAAAAATGATTACCTAATGACTGAATGAATACAAGCTGTAGCTAATACCCAAGGCATCAAAGATGCATTTTCTACGGGATCCCAAAACCACCAACCGCCCCAAGCTCATGATAAGCCCACCAACTTCCCAGTAGTATTCCTACAGTTAAAAGACACCAGCATGTTAAAATCCAAATTCGTACCAGTTTCCAATAGGCACTTCCAAGAAATCGCGTTATGCAGGCACATGTACATAGATGATACGATAATTTTCACCTTGTTGAAAATCAGATGGTACTACCCAAGTTGCTAAGTAAATAGCCATTACTGTCAAGAATAAGCAAATGGAAATTATAAATGATGTACATCTTCTTGAGTCTAACATAATAAACAAAAAAGTGAAGGGTCGTATCCCAACCTGGGCACCTGACCCGAAGCCCCCCAAGGCGCCATCCATGGGAACGACTCCCGACCTCCAACACGGGGACTGCATGGAACCACGACTGGCACTGCAATGCTTAGAACCTGAGGTCGCCATCAATAACGCAGACCGACGGGCAGAAAGCTGGCTATGGATTTTTTGTCCGCACGTACACAGAACAGCAGTCGTGCGGTACCCGCAGGTATCGGGCAGACTGCCGGTGACAGAGGCTGCCCAAGATGATACAGACCAGGATCGTGCCCGTGGGAAGGCGTAAACAAAAAACTGAAGGCTCATATCCCAACCTGGGCACCTGGCCCAAAGCACCCCCAGGCACCATCCATGCGAACGACTCCCGACCTCCAACACTGCCACTGCACGGAACGCCACTGGCACTGCAATGCTTAGAACCTGAGGTCACCGTCGATGATGCAGATCGACAGGCAGAAAGCTGTCAATGGATTTTATGTCCGGATATACACGGAACAGCAGCCATGCGGTACCTGCCGGTATTGGGCAGACTGCCGGTGATGGAGGCCGCCCGGGCAGACTGCCGCCCAAGATGATACAGACCGGGATGGTGCCCGTGGTACAGCATAAACAAAAAACTGAAGGCTCATATCCCAACCTGGGCACCTGACCCAAAGCACCTCCAGGCACCATCCATGCGAACGACTCCCGACCTCCAACACTGGGACTGCGCTGAACGCCACTGGCACTGCAATGCTTAGAACCTGAGGTCACCGTCGATGACGCAAATTGATGGGCAGAAAGCAAACGACGACACTGAATGGAAGCTTCCCATTTTTCTTCCGTTTTCTTCAATTGATCTCCTTTTGTCCTTGCAGATGCTGTTGAATTTGAGATCGTAGAGATGAGCAATGGGTACCCGCACCCACCCCACCCACGAGGCATTGGGTCAGGTGTGGGTCTTGATAAGTTGGCATGGGTGGGATGAGGGTGGGTCTAGGCGAGCAAGCTTGGGTGGGTGACGGGCGGGTCAATGTTAGGCCAGGGTCACCCGAATGGGTGGGTGACAAGCGGGTGAGCGCTAGGCCTGGGTCACCCGACCCACAGAACCCGTTCCCCCACCCCCCACCCCCCCCTTATACATATTTCCCAGCTGCGGTCCGTCTGTGGACTTGGAGGCCCAGGAAACGGAAAGTCTCCACCCTGGGGCCCCTGGGAAAAGAAGTTGTGGTCCTAAAAAAAAAAGACCCGCGCCAGTGGCAAATCGAAATTTGGGGCCCTCCTTGAAAAAATGTGTCATGCGCTACTGGTGGCAGCTGGACCATGGCCCAAACAACGGGGTGTTCGCTCCCATTAAAACAACGGGGATCGAACCTAACCACATCAAGTGGCAAGCCTTAGGTTCACTAGCCAATTTCAAACTTGTGGAGCGATTTGAATTTCTGCATGCAGAGATGCTTCAAAGTTTTGGGTCGTCATCCAAGGATGTCATGTTGCTATGGTGCATGCAAATGTTCGAAGGGACTGAGACAATGGGGAATGAGCAGTTGTGGGTGGAAAATAATTAGGTATTGGTGGGTAATTTTGTTCTCGCGGGTGTGGGTGGGTAAGGGTGAAGGTTTTTTATGGGTGACGGGTGGGTTGGGTGTGGGGGGAAATTTTCGAAAAAACACTCGGGTGGGTTGGGTCACCTTGAGATTTTTTGTTTTTGTTTCTTTGAGGGTGGGCTGTGCTTAAAAAATTATGGCCGGTTTGGGTGAAGTGCCAGTTCAAAAAAAAAATGCTCATCTCTGCGAGATCGTCACCTTGACAGCCTTCACAACAACGGTCATCAGACGGTCACTGCAAATCTCTGACACACGCCATCCCCGAAAGTTTGGACGGCCATCATCATCATCATTCCATGCTGCTTCTTTTTTTCCACAGTTTTTCTCTGTTTTTGCTTTTCACGTTGTGCTTCTTGTTTTCTTTTCATCGTGGTTTGGACTTTTCCCGTGCCTTTCATAGTAACGCAGATTCAACTGCTGACCTCCCCCGCCTTGCACAATAGGCTGATTGCAGGTCGTCAACCAGGAGGGGTTATCGAGCTGCGCCTCTTGCAGTAAGCGGATTCGAACTGCTGACCTCCCCCGGCTTTGCACAATAGGCGGGTCGCAGGTCGTCAACCAGCAGGGGTTATCGAGCTGGTGACCTTCACTGCGACTGTCAGAGTCCAAGCAAGATGTTTTTGGCATGCCTTCCCACCCGCAAAGTTGGCAGACAAAAAGATCTGTTTTTTTTTTTGTTTTTGTTTTCCTCCACTCCTTTGAACCTTTTGATCGCAACCAGCGGATTCGACCTGCGCACCTTTCACTCCTTGTAGCGGATGGGAGGCGGTGGGCGGACGTCAACCACTACAAGTTCTCGATAACATGAGCAGATTGGAGCTGCTCACCTTCCCGGGGACCGCCAGCACAGTCACCTCTCGCAAACCTTTCCTACAACAAAAGGTGATTCGAGCTGGTCATCTTCACCGCGACCATCAGACTCCAAGAAAGATCTTTTCTGACACATCCACCAGCCCGAAAAGTTCACAGAGACCAAGCTTTTTTTTCCCGCCCTTTTATCCTCCGCAACCTGGGAGGGAGGCAGTGAGTGGTGGCCGACCACTACGAGTTTTCAAGCTGCTCACCTTGCCGCAGAATATAAGGGCATATTACTCTTGATAAGGATTTCCCTGGATGCATCTCTCCATAATTAAGGCCTGATTCTGTCGAAAAAGGTCCTAACCTGAGTATGAAGATGACGACGACACCAACAATGATGATGACGATGATGATGATGATGACGCAAAGGTTCGAAGGAACGGTTTCTCCTCCATGTCAGGCTGCTCCTCCACATCAGCCTACTTGTCGCATGCTTAATCTGCATCGATCAGGACCAAGAACCGACCTCTCAGAGAAAATATAAATATATAGCGCAGCGGAAGACTGTAATACCAAGATGTGACTCAGCATGGACAATGACAGGACCTGAC